ACATCTGCACAGTGTATGGGCTAGACCCTCCCAAGTCCAGATGGGTGATTCCACAGAAGGTTGTGGAGAGCAGCAGGACTAAGATCCTGTGGGACTTCCAGATCCAAACAGACAGGCAGGTACTGGCCAATCAACTAGACATTGTGTTAATAGACAAGGACCAGAAGACAGCAGTGGTGATAGATGTAGCAGTGCCAAGTGACAGCAACATCGAGAAGAAGGAGTATGAGAAGCTGGAGAAGTACCAGGGCCTGAAGGAGGAACCAGAAAGGATGTGGAAAGTAAAGGCCCAAGTGGTCCCAGTGGTGGTAGGAGCATTTGGGGCACTCAGGGCTGTGATTCCTAAACTGGGAGAGTGGCTCCAACAGATCTCAGGAACAACATCAGAGCTCTCTGTCTAGAAGACTGCAGTGCTAGGAACAACTAAGATACTGCACAGAACCCTCAAACTCCCAGGCCTCTGGTAGAAGACCCAAGGTTGAGGACATACCACCCATAAGGGTGAAAGGGAATTTTTAAAATTATTTTTATACACACACACACAACCATTATATTTGATATATATAATCAAATCATATCATATCATATCTGTGGAAAAAGTTTGTGATTTTTGCTAGTGATTTTATTATCCAATAAATAGGGTTTTCTTTATCCAAGGTTTGGAATAACTTACCTGATTGCTAACAACAGAAATTGAAGCAATTTGTTTTGCAACACTTTTTTTAATCTGTTGTAGGCAATCTAGACAATAACCCTACTATGGGATTTATTTTAAAAGATTGTTTTATGATTTTCTCAATTTCATCAAAGATTTCAGATCAGAAACTTATGGCTAATTCTGCATTGACAAATGAAATCTGTAGAAGTCAGCATTTTCATCAGAATAACAAAACATGGATTATGAAGTTGTGATGCATGTTCTGCCTACTATCTGTATATGTTCAACACAGTAATGCATGAAGAAAACAGGCAGAGTTTGTATGACTATGTTGTAATGTGCTTTTTATCATTTTTTCCCCATCATTCAGGTCTAGTATTTCTAGACTTTCTCTTTGCTTTTGTTTATATTGGACAACCTGTCTCATTCTAGGTTTTTTTATAATTATATGTAAAAGACAACCTTATTCTTTGTACTCCACTAAGCTAGTTAGAAACTGCCGTAATGTGGAGAGCTTTGCCTAGCTGTGTGAGATTTAGGGGAGAGCAGAAAGTGATGCTTTTTAGTTGTATCACAAACCCCTGGGATGGTCTCCCCTCTCTTGTATAGCTCCTTTTCTGTATAGCTCCTTTTCTCTTGATATTTAGGAAGGCTATGAAAGCAGAGATGTTTAGAAGAAATTTAAATAAGTAAGGCCATGATGGTTGTCAGAATATGTAATGATAAATATAGTCACAGTGGGAATGAGGATTTTATTTATTGTA